CCCCAAAAAAAAACTTTTTTTTTTTTTTTTTTTTTTTTTTCCAAAAACGTTTTGGTCCTTTTTTTTTTATATATATTCCTTGCAAAACCTCCTTTGTATAAATCCGGAATCTGTTTTAAGATTGTTAGCCGAAATAGTGGATAATACAAAAGAGGAACAAGTTAAGGAAGAACAAAACCGAAATTCATACAATTGTAAATTCAACCTTTCTACCAAACTCGGAATTGGAAGTTGTAAGGATGTCGAGGCACGTGGACCACGTTTTCCTTAAAACAGATTCGCCCCCTCCGGCGTGTGCTTGAGGTTACGTTGGACGTCCGTCTCCCAGGATACAACGACAACGACGGTAGCTTGATGCACTTTCGGAACCGTCCGGCGAACTAGAACTTGATCTTTCCTCTATCACCAAAACTGAACTACAAGAACATAAAGCACAAAAAACACGGGGACATAAACAGAAGCGAGAGAAGAGAAGAAGAATTCTGAAATCTGAGTGCTTTGTTCATGTGGAGGATGGCCCTTATATAGCCTGCCCGTGAGGGATGTTACAAGGCTGTAATGATTATTGCTGCAGTTTCTACAACCGGAGGTTTAATGTCCATAAACCAATGGTTATTGCTGCAGTTTCTACATCCTTCACTAATGCAGATTTTAAACAGCCACTAATGAATCAGTTTCAGAATTTAGTTGGCAAAATAAAAGAAAAAATTACAAAACGAGTTTTCCGATCCGGCATTCGTGTCCGCAGGTCGCGGGCGCACACATTGGCCCCCAACCCGCCGGGATCGTGATTTGATTTTGAGTGTATGAATACTCGATTTTGATCTCCTCGCGATGGAGAATGTAAATCCATCGAGAGCCGTCCCGAAAACCTATTGGGCCCCATCCGAATATGGGTCTCAAAATGGGCCTTTAAAATGGCTTAACAAGCCATTTTTCAACAAATCTAACAGAGAAATTCCCTTCTTTTTCACTTAAATTCAAATTAGAAGAAGAAGGAAAAGAAAACCAATTTTTAAGCAAATGAACAGCTCAATTATACTGGAAAATCAATTAGTTTCCCTTCACTTAGCCAAATTTAGATTGAAGAAAAAAAAAAAAAAATTGCCGTGAGACAGCAAAAGAGAAGACAACAAATCACAAATACAAACTTAATGTCGTTTTCTAGTTTATTGTCTATTATTTTTTGTCGTCGTACACTTATTTGCTGTCGTTTTTTAAAATTATCCCGTTTTCTACAATGCGGTGCAGGCAGCCGTGGTTTGTTGTTTGTTCAATTTCGATGTTCGCTTGTTTTTTGGGCCTATCGATGTTCACTCTTGGTGCTGCTCCGTCCGTTTAATTTTTGTATGGTTTTTGTCCTTCTTATTTATATTATTTGTTATTATTGTCTTTTACATTACTGCGACTTGTTACTATTGTTTTGAAGGTTTATTTGTTAGGTTTTTTAATGGTTTGATTCTCTTGAAGGTTTATTTTGTTAGTTTTTTTTAATGGTTTGATTCTCTTGAAGGTTTCTTTCTGGTTTGTTGTATGCGCGTTTCTATCGTTTCATTTTTTGTCATTTTCATTTTTCTATTTTATTGTCGTTTACTATTTACTGTCTGTTTTCATTTTTCTATTTTATTGTCGTTTATTTATTGGATGTTATTTCTATCGTTTTGTTAGTTACTTTGTCGTCTGTTTTCATTTTTCTATTTTATTGTCGTTTATTTATTGGCTGTGATTTCTATCGTTTTGTTAGTTTATTTGTCGTCTCCATATTTCTGTCGTTTATTTTCAATGTCACTTGGATTGTTGGATTTATTGTCGTTTGGTTTTGGTTTCTGCGTATTTGTTGTCGTTTTTAATATACCACAGCCTTTCGATACTTCGTGGTCATTTACTAATTTGTTGCCGTCTCGTCCCTTTCTAAGTCGTCGTTTTGTGTGTTCCCGTCATTTGCTCCGTTGCAGTTTCTTCCGTTATCCTTTTAAATTTGTTCACTACTTCCGTTTAATTTTTCCGGCGTGTTTAGAACCAGTGCAAAGCCAAAGTATAGTTAAATAATTCAAGAAAAATATTTCACATTTTAAAAACATGAAAAACCCTAAAGAAAAGCTTAAAATTTCAACGAAAAAAAGACCTCGAATTTTATCCTCTTGTAAACGTTAACATATTTTCACATAATTTTTCTTTTAGAAAAAAAAGAGTTTTAAAAATAAATTCGATATAAGTGAGGGTATCAGTATCTTTTCAACTTATTTTTATTAATTAAATATTAAATGAATGAAATTGAACAAGTTTTTTTAAATTTAAAATGTGTTCATTTACACAATTTAAATTATTAAATTATGTATATAAAAAAATATTAAAATAAAAAATTTAAATTTAAATTTATATAAAAAAAACACCGTTACAACTTACAATATAATTTAAGTCCTAAAATAAACAAAATCTTTAATATATTTTCTTTGTACTTTATAAAAGTAAAGGCGTAAATGGTGAAAAAATCGAAAATGAGATATATTTACATGATTAACCCTACATAAATTTGCCTGCGTGCTGATTTGTTGCGTCCTTTGTTCATCTTCTTCCTTACGGCAAATAAGCTAACACACACACCGAAGAAAATGTCGAACACCGCAGAAGAAACCCTAGCGGAAATGGAAGAAGAAGAAGGAGGAGTGTACGAACAGAGAGGCTCCGAAAACGACAACGAAAACGAAAACGAAAACGACGATCTCTCCCACGAATGGGAGACCATGGCTCGAGCTTGGCTCTGCTCGTTCCCCGAAGCCAAAGCCGTTTCCATGGCGGAAGTCGAGTCCTGGATCGACTCCAACCTCGATTCCTTACCCGACGGCATCAAATCCATGCCTCGTTCCGACCTTTCTCTCAGGCTCATTTCCATTCAGAACATGCGACTCCCCAATCAGGTTCAATTTTCCTTTCGAATTCGTTTGATTCATAAGTTCAAAAATGTGTTTTTGGGCTCAAGAATTCAAGATTTCCGATGCATAATTTAAAGGGAGGAGAAGGAGAAGAAGAAGAAGCGAGTCCAGTTGATACTCCTCATGCGCGGTTTCAACGCACCGATCAGTGGAGACCGGTTTATTCGTGGCTGGAATCGTTGGACAAAGACGAGGTTGTTAAGTCTAAGGATATTTCGGATTGGCTAACTGAGAATCCGAATGTGCAAGAACAGTTGTGCTCTAGGCATTCTCGGTACCACTTGATGCATTACATTAAAAAGTGTCATATGAAGATCCTCAAGAGAAGAGAAAAGAAGAAGGTAGGAAATGGTTAAAGGTTTTTTTTTTTTTTTTTTTTTTTTTTTTTAAATAATTCAACTTGAGGGAAAAAAAGGTTGGTCTTTTATTTTTATTTTTATTTTTGATATTTAATTCTGTGACTATTTTTCTGAACAGGGGTTTCAGCAGTCTGAGAAACCAGCGTCTCTCAAGGTTAATAAAGATGTGGTGATGAAACAACCAGCCGTGCTTCCAAGTTTAGGTATTTTATGTAGTCTTTATTGGTTCATGGGTTTGAACAGAAAGTTAGAGCAGAAGTTTGAATTTTTGAGGGATAAAACACTCGAGTAAAAAATGTTTGAATTGGGTTGGAATCTATGAATCAAATGGGGCTTAGTGTTCTAAATGTTGCGGTTTGCGGGTTGATATGTTGATTGTTAGAAAGCGCTTGAAGGCATGAATCCAAACCCATTTTTAGGTGATGCATGTAGATTATTACCAGATAGGAAAGTGAAGGAAAAGAAAGTAAAGTTTTCGAATGCAATCCCAGAGAAGTGTTGCGAGAGAGAGAGCTTTGTATTAAATGCTAGCGTAATTCAAATCAGCATTACGCATTTCAAATGTGGCGTCACATTTTTTGTATAATAAACGAAGGAATCAATGAATTTAGGCCCAGTGTAGCGACTATTTGCTATCTTTCTATTCAAACTTGTGGGAAGTTTTGGAGTTAGATTCAAATGATTGTGCATATGATCAGAGAGGATATTTAATTGCTTTATGGCAAGGATTCGAAGCTGTGAGTTTATTGTCTCCAATCTCCATTTATTCGCATTCGCTTTTTCATTGATTATAGATACACCGGATGTTTATCTCTCTCAAAATAAGGTTGATCATTAACTTTTATTCGTATTAGCTTTCATTGATTAAGTTAGTTCACTTGGTACGATTTACAAGTTAAATCTAACTTTGTCAGAGCGTGAAGTAATTCGTCAGCTCAAGCTTTTAGAAGGACTAGTAGTCTAACAATCTTTAATCAAGTTCCTTGTCTTTATTGTCTTCTGTTCAAAAGAGAAATATTTATAATCTGATCATATTGCATTTATCTCATCTGCTCTTTCAAGGGGTGTGATATTCACCGTGTTTTGTATTATTGTTCTCTAAACTTGTTTACAGCCTAATTGTCATCTTTTTGAGTAATTACAATATCTCCTCAATATTACGAGAACGTTTGGTTCATGGGTTCAAAATCATGGTTCATGATTCTGATTTTTGAAATTTAAATTTTTTGTGAGAGAAAAGCACTGTAGTAGAACCAAAAACTATAATCATAAACCAGGTAGAACCTTTGAAACAAACGTCACCTACATGATTCAACCCGTTTTAACTTTAATTTTTTTGCAGTTATCTCTCCAGCAGCCAACATACCTAAAGATAGTGACGTATATTTAGCCAAGCGAAAGGAGGCACTTCAGAAATATGAAATGTAGGTCAAGCATTGATCTTTTTTTAATACATATTTTTAATTTTTTTTAATCTTCCATCTACTTATTGATCATGTTAACGTGGTTCCAGTTTAGTAGAGTTGGAGAAGCTGCTTTCCCCATCTGTCATGCGTCAAGAGCTAAGCAAATGAAGAATTTTGAAGCACTTTATAGAAGTTCAGTTTGTAAATTATTCTCTCCGTAGTAAGCACTGCTAGAGCCTAGAAACACAATTTAATGTGGTATCCAAGGATCCGATTTTTTTGCAATCAAAAAGTGGGCCTAGAAATTGGTCCCAGAGTTGTATTCAATCTTATCTGTAAATTTTACAACTTTGCTTGAGCTGAATGCAATATCTAGTTTTTCTCAAGTGTATTTGGCCTTTCTTTCTCTGCATCGTCAAATCTGTCCTCATTAAGTGCCAGATTCTATATCCAAAAAGCATGAAAAGTTGACTTTTTGTAGATGATTCAGAAGTTTGATACCGGTGGAATAAATAGAAAAAAAAAAAGGACCCAGAGCATATTATGATAATATCTTTTTCTTCTGTCTATTATTTTAGGATCCGTTTAGTTCGCTGATTCGAGTTTTTAATTCGAGTTGAGATGTAATTTTATGTGAGAGCTTTTTACTGTAGTAAAAAAGTTAGATTTGATTGTTTGTGAGAGTTTTTTACTGTAGTAAAACTCGAATTCTAAACTCGAATCAGCGAAATAAACGGGACCTTAACTTTCATTGACTCAGTGCCTAATATCTTTTGCTTACGTATTCATAAAAAATATCTTTGCTCACAATGGAAATGCAGAAAAAAAAAAAATGACGCTTCCCATATCAGTTTGCAATCAGATTGGTCTAATTCCTAGTCCTTAAATAATAACTTTAATTATTTCTTAATTATTAATTACAATTTAGAAAGCGGGAAACATGGGCCTGAATAACCTGATCTTACTGACAAGGCAAGTCATGTTCTACAAAATCTTTCAAATTCGGATGTCGATAATAAAACCTATAATTCTAAGTTCTTATAGCATATAGCAACAGTATAATAATGGAGTTGTTTTCCTTTTTTTTTTCTCTTTTTTTTTTCCTTTTATTTTTTTTTCCTATTTTGTCGGTGACTTCTTAGTGACGAGACTCTTTGGTACCCCTCAGAAGTAATGTTAACGCTGGCTGCCCTTCCTCCACGGACTTGACTTTAGCGAGAAAAATGGCTCGCACACGTAGCGTCTGTTTAGTTCGCTGATTTAAAATTTTAATTCGAGTTAAGATGTGATTTTATGTGAAAATTTTTTATTGTAGTAAAAAAGTTAGATGTGACTGTTTCTGAGAGCTTTTTACTGTAGTAAAACTCAAATTTTAAACTTAAATCGATGAAATGAACGGAACCATAGCCTAAGTAAGCAGTTTCCGTGTCCTAATTTCTATCAAACCACAAGGTTAAGTTAGAATGGTGTCTTTTGGCTAATACAAATCCTTGTTTAAGTCTTTGGTTCTGTTTATTTCACCTATTCGAGTTTTCAGTTCTAAATTTTTACAGTTTATCTCAAAAAATATCACATCTAATTTTTTATGCTACAGTTAAAAATTCTTAAAAATTATGACATCTCAGCTCAAATTAACTACGCAATAAAACTAGACGGCAGGGTTGGAGTTCAACATTTGTAGCTTTCTAATCAAGCATCTTATATGTATAAGATGTCTATCGGTAATTTTCAGGAAATTATTATTGTGTTTCAATTTTTACAATTTTTCTTAGATAGATTGAATCTATTAAACATAAATTTTGATAAAGCACGGCTTCAGCAAAAACAAAACAATGAAGTCAATTTTTTTTTTTTTTAAAAGTCGACGTTGGTTCCTTTGCTGGCCATCTATTTCAACGTTCATTGTTTCTTTCCCTTGCTATTCAAGTCTGAACTGAAAAAGGATCTTCCAACTTTAAAGCATCTTTCAAATAACAATAATGTATATAATAGTAAAACAAAAAGAAAAAGAAGAGAAAAACAATTGGGAAGCGAGACAAAAGGTTGACTAGACAGCAAAGACAAAACCATCTTCAAGAAAAAATGGCCGGCCTACACGTATAAACAAAGTTGAGTCCCAAATTCCCAATCAACATCACTATTGAAATACATTATGGAAGTTCCATTGAAGAAGATGAATGGCCTCAATTCCTTCTTGTCCTTGAAAGTTACACTACTAACGATAGCAATTGTCCTAGTGCATATTTCCGATGCTCACACCGGAGGCAGATATGGCGGTGCAGGCGACGGAGTCCAGCCATTGTCAAAGATTGCCATCCATAGGGCGGTTTCCGAGCTTCACGAAAATGCTTCCATCAAAGCAGCACCAGTAGTTCTTGGAACCAAGGTTGTTTAATATATGACTTCACACTTGCATGTCTTGTTCTTGGGCAACAAACTTGTCATGTCTATCTATCTATCTATCTAGCTATCCATGTTCATGAGGCTAAGGAAATAGTAGAAATCTGACTGGTTGATTTTAGCTGATGGGTTTGTTTTGCAGGGTGAAGATTATCAATGGGTCACTGTTAAATTTGACTCTCCTAAACCTGGTGAAGATGATTGGATTGGAATTTTTTCTCCGGCAGATTTCAAGTAATGTTCATTCTGATGGCTGTTATAAACTGCCTTTGGAAATTGTTTGTATGTTGTTTGGTGTTTTTGCTTAAAAGTTGGCAGATTAAATAGGCATATTCTATTATGGCAGCTCATCTATTTGTCCAGCTACTGATGATGTGGAGGGTGCTCCATACATATGCTCAGCTCCAATTAAGGTATACCAATTGCAATCTACATATTTCTGTTAGACTAAATCATTTCATCTTCTTTTATCATTCTCGCGTTCAACTTTTGTTTTTGTTCAGTAATCATTTCATCTTCTTTTATCATTCTCATGTTCAACTTTTCCTTTTGTTTTCAGTATAAGTTTGCAAATGATTCGAATGATGATTACACGAAGACAGGCGAAGCAACTTTGAAGTTTCGATTGATCAATCAACGAGAAGACTTCTCATTCGCGTTGTTCGCAGGCGGGTTGTTAAATGTACGTTAACTACCCTTCTTTCTTTCAGGTTATTTGTTCGTAAAAATTTGTGTTTTATGTCGTAGTGTGTCGCCCACCCGCGGTTCTTGATGGTGTTTGTGTAGTTCATGCATTTTAAGTTTACATTCTTTCACTTATATAGGCTTTCTGCGGTGCCTCTTCTTGAATTGTTGTCTGACTTCTATGTTCTGATATGCAGCCAAAGTTGGTGGCGGTTTCTAATGTCATACGCTTTGCAAATCCAAAGGCACCCCTTTATCCGCGTCTTGCTCAAGGAAAGTCATGGAATGAAGTAAGTTCATGCAATTACCACATGATATAAATATTTGATTCATCATTGTTTGTGTTGAAACCTAATCCAACTATCTAAGCCTTAGTTTGTACACGATCAGTATGAGATCATCATACTTCAGGTAGAAAAATATTTTTGCTGTGTTTGGATGGTGGCAAAAGAAATAGGGAGGGAGAAAAGTTATACATCTTAGGCGAGGATGAATGCAGACGAATGGGAGGATCTTTCCCTTAATGTGTTTGTATGGATTCCCTCTTCCCACTAATCTCTCACCCAATATCTTCCCTTCTCTAATCCTTCCTTCTTACCAAACAAATCCATGCACTAATCTTCTTACCCCTATCCAAACAAGGCCCTAGATTTATCCTTCTGTGCTTTGACTTCCATTGTTTCATTCATTTCATGTAATGCTGATTGCTGAAGAAAATATTTATCAAAGAAAATCAGATGGTGTCTGAACTGACTCCACTTTCAAACCATCATTTTTTTGACCTTATGTAGTACTAATTCTGTGAAAATGCTGTTTTGCTTTGATGCAGATGACAGTGACCTGGACAAGCGGCTATAACATTGATGAAGCTGTACCCTTTGTTGAATGGGGTTTCAAGGGACGAGATCAAATTCAAACACTAGCAGGAACGTTGACTTTTCGTCGAAACAGCATGTGCGGTGCGACTCATTTAACCTCTCTCCTTTGTCTACCAGTGTGGGAATTGTATTTCTATCATCAAAATGTTCTTAGCGAGTCTTAATTTCTCTTCTTCCTTCATGGATTATTCACTTTCCATATCAAACACACAATTTATCACACACAGAGTTAGTTTTTAGTTTTTAACTTGTTGAAATTGAGGAGAAATGGCAGTTGAATCCCATTGTAGTAACCAAGTTCTCTTCTCTTCTCTTCTCTCACTCAACAGGCCCACCGGCCCGGACATTTGGTTGGCGAGATCCGGGTTTCATCCACACGAGTTTCCTAAAAGAATTGTGGCCAAACTCTATGTATGCTTCTTATGTACTACAAGTAATCTCAAAAACTTCCAAGACATTACTATATTGTTGTTCTTAAGGCCTATAGTTGGCGCTTTCTCTCACAGGTACTCTTACAAGCTCGGACATAAGTTACAAAACGGCACCTTTATCTGGAGCAAGTCCTACTATTTCAAGTCATCACCATATCCAGGACAAGAATCATTACAACGTGTAGTTATATTTGGTGACATGGGAAAGGTATGTCAAGAAAATTAAGTGGAAACCAGAACACAGAAAAAGAAAATAGTATTCTAAAAAATGATTTGTTTTGAGTATGAAAATGACAATGAGAATTTTTTGGGAATGGTAGTGAGACTCTTCTTGAAATTGCGTTTAGTTATTTTTTTGAGAGATTGTTTTAGGCATACGAGAAAGTGAGACTGTGTTTGGTTATGTGTCTGAAAATGTGTATTAAGTTATAGTCTTAGAAAATGAAAACGGAAGTGTAAAAACACTTTCAACTATTTTTCATTTCCTTAACAAAAACCATTGTCACTGTTTGTTTTTTTTTTTCGTTCTCGTGTTCAAAACATTTGCTAACCAAATGTTGTCTACAAAACATTTTCGTTTTTGTACCTCAGAAGGCGTGCATAAACATTTCCAAAAACAACAAAAAACGATACCAATCGGCACCAAAATTTACCCTTTTTCCATCATTTTGCAGGCAGAACGTGATGGTTCAAATGAGTTTCATAACTACCAGCCAGGCTCACTCAATACCACAGATCAACTGATTAAGGACCTAGATAACATAGACATAGTTTTCCACATAGGTGACATTACATATGCAAACGGATACATCTCACAGTGGGACCAGTTCACAGCCCAAGTGGAGCCCATTGTATCTACTGTGCCATATATGATTGCGAGGTTTGATATGCTTGTTTTGTTTCAGTGCCTAAATTGAGAGTTTAAACACTTCCTTTTTCTCAAACTTACATGTTGAGTATTCTGATAGTGGCAATCATGAGCGTGACGTGCCGGGAACCGGCTCATTCTATGACGGCAATGATTCGGGCGGTGAATGCGGCGTGCTAGCTGAGACAATGTTTTATGTTCCTGCTGAGAACAGAGCCAAGTTCTGGTAAGATTTAAAAAGATTCCACATGCCAAGTTTTGGTAAATATGAGGAAGTCAAGCTTAATTAGGATCACAAGAAAATATAATCTGATTTCTCCAGCCATTTACTGGTCTTATTTTTTCTGCAAAACCAAATTTTAAATGTTGAGTGTGTGGATCATAATTATTGCCCTGTTAGCACTTGATTTACCTTGTATTTTTGGGTAAAGTGAGAATTTGACACTTTCAATTTCCCTAGTCTTCTATTGAGGGGATAAGAGAGGTTAGAGGGGGGAAAAAAAAACGTAAGAGTTGTGCGGTTTTCTCTTGTAATTTTCTTCTTTATATTGGAATTCTGCAGCTGAAAGTGGACGTAGCTCTCATAACGATGAACAACTATCAATCTCGTGTGCTCATTTATTTGTTTTCTTTGATTTTATCGCTCTAGATAGTAAAGGATCTTGATGATTCTAGTTCTCAACAGAAAAGAAAAGACTGTGTTAGTTCTAGTCCAACAGGTTTTCTTTGGTCTAGTTGCCTTAAAATAAGCTAAACCCAATATGGACATATCTCTAAAACTCCAAGGCCTCGCTCGTTTCACCATTCGAATCGTAACTCAAAACTTTTTATGTTCTCTCACAAAAATTCAAATTCATTCTCTCACATATATGCACTTTTCAACTGAAACTCTCAAACTCGAACTAGCGAAATGAACGTGTCCAAATAAAAGCCAATGTTGTTCGTGTTCATTGCAGGTACTCAACAGATTTTGGAATGTTCCACTTTTGTATAGCTGACAGTGAACATGATTGGAGAGAGGGATCAGAGCAGTACAAGTTCATAGAAAAGTGCCTTGCTTCAGCAGACAGGAAGACACAACCATGGTTGATTTTTGCTGCTCATAGGGTTCTGGGCTATTCCTCTGCATATTGGAAAGATGGCTCATTTGGGGAACCAATGGGAAGGGAAAGCTTACAGAAGCTATGGCAGAAGTACAAGGTGGACATTGCATTTTTTGGTCATGTCCACAACTATGAGAGGACATGTCCCATTTACCAGGTATGCAAAAACATCAACCAAAAAAAAAAAAAAAGAAAGCTTACTTCTGCATCATTTATAAAACGACATGTCGTATATAAAGTCATCCGATACCTCGTGTATAAAGTCATATATTGAAGACAGTATTGGAATATTGGTTTCATCTGATAATTTATATCTACTTCTTTATCCAATGAAGAAAACAGGGTCTCGCAAGTGTGTAACAAACTACACTGGTTATTTTGTCATCTTTTCTTGCATTATTGACATGAAAAAGAAAAGAGCAAAAAAGATCAACGCATAAGATGAGTGAAAAACTTACTCATACCAATGTTACAAGTAGAAAAGCAAATAAAATAGTCTGAAGAATTTGCCAAAACATATTGCTGAAAATAGCTCCTGATCTTGCTAACAAAATCAAACATTCTTAGGGATACAAGGCCAAAAAAAAAAAAAAAAAAAACTTTTCTTCTACAACACATTAATATTTCATCCAACGCTTTTAACTTTCTATGGTTATATGATGCAGAATCAGTGTGTGAATAAGGAAAAATCTCATTATTTGGGCACGGTGAACGGAACCATTCACATCGTCGCCGGCGGCGGTGGGAGCCACTTGTCGAATTTCGGGCCAGTGCAGCCAACTTGGAGTCTTTTCAGAGATGTTGACTTTGGTTTTGTGAAACTAACGGCGTTCAACCGCACTACACTGCTGTTTGAGTACAAGAAGAGCAGTGATGGGGAAGTCTATGATTCCTTCACCATCTCAAGGGACTACAAGGATGTTTTGGCTTGTGTACATGATGCCTGTGAACCCACCACTTTAGCCACATAATAAAAAATATTGTATGATTTTCGACTTCCGTGACGTTTTTTTTTCAAGAATAATACATGATTCAGATCATGGTTCTTAGTTCTATTACAGTATTTTTGAGGTTGTTCTTTTATATTTTTGAGTTAGAGTGACTTGAGTGATGATCTTGAGTTGAGTTTGAGTTATAACTTGAGTTGAAGTTATAACTTGAGTTTGTATTTGGATGTGCATATTTGAGTTATGATTTGAATTGAAAATCTTTTTGAGTTTGTGTTTAGGTGGGTCAAAACTTAAATTTATATTTAAATAATATTTCACTAAAAACTCAATGGTAATGAAAAATTTTAATAGGGTATATGGGTGGGGTTTTATTCATATTTTCGTTGTGAATGCATAGAAAAAAATTTTACAAAAGAACATGAACTTGAATAAAATTGTAACTCGAGTTCAAACTTTTTCTGAGTTTCGTTACAAAAAAATAACCCATTTTTTCATAAAAAATTTGAATTTAAAAAATTAGAATGATGAATCATAATTTTAAACCCATAAACTAAACACCACCTTGATTTTATTTCATTCAAATAAATGGTTCATTTGATTTGGTGTGACACAAGAACTCTTTTTTTTTTAAATTTATTATTATTATTAAAATAATTAAAATAGAATATTATATTAAAGTATAATAAGATATTGAAATTGAATAATGGATAATAACGTAAGAGAAAAGAGTTGGTCTGGTACAAAAAAAGAAAAAAGAAAAAAGAAAAAAGAAAATGCACATAACATAAGTTGTGAAAAAGGTTGGTTGTATTTGGTCCCCACTTTTTTTTTTTGGTTTTCTCAATTTGCTTTGCAAACTAAAATTATTGTATCTTCTAGATGAAGGTTGTTTTCATCTCTAAAGAATAATATGTTCTTTTCTTAATTGAATCCTTTATTTTTCTATATTTGTGGCTCCCCATTTCTTAAAAAAAAAAAAAATCTTTTCAGTATCTAATTGAGTTTAAATACGGATGAGTAACGAAATTGAATTTTAAAATTGTTAAATTGAATTTTAAAATTGAGTTTAAATGTTTGCATCAATGTAAAAGATGTGGATGAATTTTCGAAAAGAAAGTGAATCTTTATAAAATTGTTAAATTGTAAAAGTAATTTTCGTAATTATATCTTATAAAAAATAAGGTCCATGGAAGATAATATAAGGCACGTATAACAAATAGGCAAGTACCTATTAAGTATATTTCAATAAAAAAAATAAAAAAATAAAAAAGTACCTATTAAGTATAAACCGTAATTATTTCAAAAAAAAAAAAAAAACAACAACAAATTTCGCGGTAACTACTTCCCACACTTGCACTGAAAAACAAGCTTCTATTTTCCCTCCACAGCAATTATAAGACCTTCTCTGTAAAATCCCACCGGTCATTTTCTCTCTCACAAATTATAAGATGTTCATTTCACTCATTTAAATTTAAAAATTATTATAATAAATTTTTTTTAAAAATAATTATATTTAATTTTTTATTATAATAAAAAAATTTTATATAAAATTATATTTTAATTTAAATTAAAAATTTAAATTAACGAACTAAACAGTTTTAAATAAGTGCAGAGAAAGAAAAACTTGAGAGAGATTTTGTTTTTTTTGTTTTTTTTTTCTTTTCAGTTGTTATCATTATTATTTTCCTTTTATAACACATCTCTCTGATTTTTTTCCCCCACGTGTGTTGGCATTAAAGATTCTGGAGATTATTCTCAGAACCCAAAAAGGATCAAAGTTTAAGAATAAAATCTATTTAAGAGAGAAGTTTTGATTTTCAATTGGTGAAGAAGAGAATGGTTAAGGTTTTGGTGTTTGTGTTTTTTTTTATGAACGTTGGATTGGATTGGGCTCACTGTAATGGATTTGGAGAGCAGCCACTTTCCAAGATCGCCATACACAAAGCCACTATTGCTCTTCGTCATTCCTCTTCCTTGAAAGCCTATCCTTTTGTTCTTGGCTCAAAGGTAACACTTTACTCTCAAATTTTGCTTCTTTTTTTTTTTTTTAATAAATTTTTAAAATTGATGGATTGCCCACAATTTGAAGATTTTGAATAAACCCAGAACTTTTTTTTTGGCTGAAAATTAGTTATCCTACTGTTTTTTGTTGTGAGGGTTTATCAATTGATTGATTTTTGAATGTAGTTGTTTACTTGTTTACAATCTTTGTCCACAATATGATGTTGGGATTTTGAGTAGATTGAATTTTCTATAGGATCTTTGGATTAGGGGGTTCAATTTACGGGTTGTTATGTTATTATGATTCTTGTTTTGTGGGGTTTTTGGTGATGGATGATTTGATCCATATGCTACAGGGTGAAGATACCCAATGGGTAACTGTGGATTTACAACACTCTGAACCTGCTTGGGATGACTGGGTTGGTGTTTTCTCTCCTGCAAAATTCAAGTAATCTACATCTCTGTTAAATCTTGTATTGTTAAGGGGACTTTATATATAGCTGAGTTTGTGGAATAATTTATTGCATAGAGTAGAAATATAAATGTTACTGGAACAATGGTGAAAATTGATGTGATTCTGTTTTGTTTCGATATGACAGCTCATCGACTTGCCCACCCGAAAATGCCCCAAAAGAGCAGACTCCATACATATGCTCTGCCCCAATCAAGGTGTGTAAATGCAAGTTTAGCAATGAATGGTAAATTAATTTGGCCAAAAAAAAAACAAGAAAAAACTCTTACGTATGTGATGTCTAATGCTTTTTCTTCAGTACACGTTTGTGAGAGATTACTCTCATTATGAAAAGACTGGCAAAACTTCCTTGAGGTTCCAACTGATAAATCAGCGGGCGGATTTTTCATTTGCGTTATTTGCAGGCGGGTTGTCAAATGTGTGTGCTCTTGACTCTTTCTTTTGCAATATGCTTCACCAAACATTTTACATTTTGAGTACAAGTGATATTTTGGCTACATGACTGAGTCAGCTAGTTCAATATTGCAGCCAAAACTGGTGGCAGTTTCAAACGTCATATCATTTGCCAATCCAAAAGCGCCAGTCTATCCAAGGCTTGCTCTTGGGAAGGCTTGGAATGAAGTAAGTTTTCTTTTTCGGTGATGGTTCTTCGCCTATTCTTCTCGCTGCTTACTGTTTGTACGTCTTAAGGTTGAATTTGAAATGGAAATTGTTTGGCTAAGTAGGATTTACTGTGTTAAATTTTTGCAATTTCTTTGTATCATGATGTGAGCTTGTAAATTGTGTTAAGTGAGTTACATGAAGGATTATCCACACATAAGTACTGAGGTCTGTCCGTGTACAAAGGTTGGAAGAAAATTTTATAGACTTGTAGTTTTGATACGGAAACTATCCTATTTATACCTCCTTCCCATGGTAAGAGAGTGATTTTCTTGCAAATCCTGATTCCGCATCTTCTCACTTTGTTGCTGAAGCTTCCTTTTTGATCAAATCTATGTTATTTCCCATTTAGAAGAACATCCATTGTGAATGAGAAATTCTATTACAAGATGGAACATGTTGAGCCTTATCTCTCAAACAATTCGAACAAGGGAAAAATGAATGATTATAAGTGCAACAAAGATAATAACAAAAAGAAAAACAGTACAGTATGTTGAGTTACAAGACAAAACTTGGATATGTGAATAGCGATAGCAGTTTTGTTTTACTAAAACGAATCCTAGAGTTGTGTGTTTATCCATTTTCCTTAGTATCTCTTTCTGGTATATATGAACTGATACAAGCTGCAATATTTGCAAAATCTTTGAACCGTGCAGATGACAGTAACCTGGACAAGTGGCTATAATATTGATGAGGCTGTTCCATTTGTTGAGTGGAGTATGAAAGGAGGAAGTAAAATGCGATCGCCAGCCGGAACTTTGACATTTAGTCGGGGGAGCATGTGTGGTATGATTCATTACAAATGATTTTGCTGCACTATGATAGCTCCAGTAATACACGAAACATTTATTTCATGCTGGTTTACTTCGAAACCTTTCCCAATCTAGGAAAGGGATTGTTATATTTTGATGAGTGATGAAAGGATTATTATGTAATAAATAGGCGTGTTGAATAATTGGGTTTACATGCTATCCAGGTTCACCAGCAAGAACAGTTGGGTGGCGTGATCCTGGTTTTATACATACAAGTTTTCTGAAAGATTTGTGGCCAAACTCTGCGTATGCATTTGAAGTATTTAGTCATTTACTTCTATGCAGTATCAATATCTATTCTAATGGTTGTTATTTGATGGTTTCTCAGGTACACATACAGGCTGGGCCATCTTTTGTTGGATGGTTCATATGTCTGGAGCAAAAACTATTCCTTCAGATCATCTCCGTATCCCGGACAGGACTCGTTACAACGTGTTATAGTGTTTGGCGATATGGGCAAGGTAATATTTACAAAGTTAAATTTCTGCATGGTATATTTAGATAATTATTTATGGGAATAGTAAGGTAGATTTCTGAGTGTTTAAACTTTTGATATCTTGAGCTCGTTGCTAATGATGGATTGAGGGCTTATACTGTACTCAGCTTTTGATGAAGAGAATAATGTTCCCGCCGTTGTAATTCTAGGCATTAAAAAAATCAGTAATAGATCATAATCAATACCATGTGGGGACAATACATGGAATCTAATTTTAATTTTGAAACTCTCCAAGTTGTTTTAGCCTCCGCAGAAACTATTAAGCACTTGTGTTGTGTATTTGGGTATTTTACATGCATTTTGAGGTCTAAGGCTTAAGTAGTGTGTATGTCTATGTTACGAGGAGTTGAGTTCATTTGGGGCATGTTTACTGGTCATGAATGGGAAAGGAAAAAAGAATGTTCCCTTTTTCGCCTATTTGTGTGCTTAAAGGAAAAAAGAATGTTCCCTTTTTTGCCTATTCGTGTGCTTACTTGCACAAATAGGAATGCTGATTTGGTGGGCCCCACATGCTTTAGAGAATGAGGAAAGGGAAAAACAATCTTAGGTTACTGATGTTTCCTTTTCAATTAGAATAGACCATAAAGTTGCTTTTCTAGCCTTTCTAAATTCCCTTTCAATTCGAATAGACCGCAAAAGTGCGTTTCTAGCCTTACACTACAAAACATGCCTTTGGTCCTTCTCTTTCTTTTCCAATACCTCATGCCTCTGTTCCTTCTCTTTCTTTTCCAACACCTTGTCCTCTCCCATTACATTCCATTACAAGTTAGTAAAGAAGCCCTTAGAGGCTAATGCTTTGTTATATGAAGATAACATTATTGTCCCCTTCTCTATCTTTCAGGCAGAACGTGATGGTTCCAATGAGTACAGTGATTATCAGCCTGGTTCACTCAACACCACTGATCAACTCATCAGGGACTTAGAAAACATCGATATAGTAATGCATATCGGAGATATTTCATATGCAAATGGGTACATCTCACAGTGGGACCAATTCACGGCTCAGGTGGAGCCCATTGCATCAACTGTACCGTATATGGTTGCAAGGTCTGCGGCTCATTACATGTTTTCACTTTCCTCTATATGTAGAAATATCTTTCATATGATACATCATGATATTGAATACTGAATATCAAATTTCAATTTGTTTCATCTAGTGGTAACCACGAACGTGATTGGCCAAACTCGGGGTCCTTCTATGATACTCCGGATTCGGGTGGAGAATGTGGTGTAGTGGCTGAGACTATGTTTTATGTTCCAGCTGAGAACCGAGCCAAGTTTTGGTAAATTTCATACCTTATTTAAAATAAGTTAATGCATTTATGTCTTGTTAAAGTAATAGGATGGAGCTAGTCAATTCTAATCCCGTTTTCATCCATATAAGTCGTATTCTCTATCCCCATACAGGTACTCGACGGATTATGGCATGTTTCACTTCTGTGTAGCTGACAGCGAACATGACTGGAGGGAGGGGACGGAACAGTACAGGTTCATTGAGAAATGCCTTGCATCTGTGGATAGGCAGAAGCAACCTTGGCTGATCTTTATTGCCCATCGGGTGCTCGGGTATTCCTCCGACAACTGGTATGGGCTGGAGGGCGCATTTGAAGAGCCCATGGGAAGGGAAAGTTTGCAGAGACTTTGGCAAAAATACAAAGTGGATATTGCGTTTTACGGCCACGTCCATAACTATGAAAGAACATGTCCCGTATACCAGGTATATACTGATAATCTTCACTTGTGCCCCAACTAAAAAACTCACACGACAGCTTAACTCCGTTGCCATATATATAGCTTTTCATCATGCATATTTTGGTGCCAATTGCTATTTTCTATTTTTCATTTCCCTTTTACTAGTGTCAGAAAAGTATGGATGGGGTGGGCTTTGGGTAGGGGTTGCGGGTTCAATCCCGTGTTGTATAAAAAAAAAAAAAAATCATGATGTTATTATGTGACTTGTGTAAAAAGAGAGTATTATAAGCTTTGGCAAATATTTAATCTGATATAATTCTAATGTGATCTGACGAACGGTTCAAATTGTGTCCTACCGGTAAGATATTTTATCATATCGTACTACGAAATTCTCCTAAGTATAAAACGAAACGTTGCGGAAGAAGACTTACCATTTTATTTTTCTCCAATCTCACATTTTTGCCGGGCTGTTGCAGAGCAAATGCGTGAACGGCGAAAAATCCCATTACTCGGGTGTTGTGAATGGAACCATCCATGTTGTGGTCGGGGGTGGTGGGAGTCACTTGTCTGAGTTCAGCAAAGTTGTACCAAATTGGAGTATCTTCAGAGATTATGACTGGGGATTTGTGAAGCTGACAGCCTTTAATCACTCATCACTTCTTTTTGAATACAAGAAGAGCCGTGATGGCGAAGTATATGATTCTTTCACCATTTCTAGGGACTACAAAGATGTCTTGGCTTGTGTCCATGATGGCTGTGAAGCACATACTTTGGCATCTTGAATAATATTATTATTTTTTTCTTCCATCCTATTTTGTAGTATAATAGTGGAATTAGGTCATGCACAGATGGTGAATTTCTGCAGCATTATTCCCATGCCTAATAGTTAACGAATAATATCCATGTGACAAATCAATGTCGTAGGTACGGAAAATCCGACATTGGATTACATTTTAAATTCAATGTCTTATTGTTCTTCTTTTTATCCACATTCTTATTATCAAATCCTTTATACCCTTTTACTTGATCAGCTTCTCGTTTGCACGTGATATTTTATCGTTACTTGTTGACGGTTGAATTTCGTCAACAGAATTATGCCGGATTACTTCTAGGTACCCTTTTAGGTTACCGGCATGATAACGTTATATATGTTTGATGTATTGTTGCTATGGGATTTTTGGTGGTATGATAATTCTAAATATGTAAACGGAATACTTGAACGAAAGTAAAAGACACGCAAGTTTTATAGTGATTCACTTTGTTAATTAAGAGCTACATCCACTGTGTATTGTATATATTTATTTTCTATAGTTCTTCTAAGATTACACGAAAAGATCCCTCTATCCTTTGAGGCTCTCTCCCTTTTATAGCCCAATGATTACTTTCGTGGGCGGTTCTTCTTCGTAGGCTTATCCACTCGAGTGGCCTATGGTTCTATGGGCCCAAATCATAGCTTGTCAACACATTTTGCACTGTTTACTCATACAATTTGTCCCTTATTACGGCTCTGCAGACCCTGTAATCCCTAACCGTCCATTACAAGCGGTTTTAGGGACTCATAATTAATTCCTGCACCACTGACATCTTTTGGATCAGACGTAAACTGTTGTGTCAGGGTTCTTTAATGAGGCACTCTGTACTCTACCCTCGACGTCTATAACAGGGGATTAGGTTCGTCGCTTGACTGACTCTCGTGGAGCTTCCAAAGCGCAAGTCACACAGGCCTCAACGGTCTTGAGTGGTCAGCGGTCTGTGGATTCGTCCGTACGATTGGCCTTCCCAATCATTCAGAAGAAACAAGGCCTAGACGTCGACCGCTATCTGTTGTGGCAAACATAGAGCCACGTGGAGCGCTGTCGCCGTCCCACGTGTTAGCGCACATTTTCCCATATAACATTACTATTTTTGAATAAGGTTAGGAACATCAACTCAAATCTCAACTCTTGAATACCAATTGATGTAGCGTATGAGTAGTCATTTTTATATTGATGGGTGTTTAAAATATTGCAACGTCAATTTACGATAAGAAATTGCATCTACTAATAGAAAAATAATAACTCATATGTCAAATCAGTTAGTATATAAGAGTTGGGATTTGAGTCATTTCTTTTTATTTGTTGGTCTTTTAGTAAAATAAAATGAGAGTTTCTCTTGTAAGACTTCCTACTGATAAGGTCAGTTTTTAACTGTTAAATCTGGTTAAAATCACATTAAATTGAGAATGCATGCATAACGGACAATTTTTTATGGGGATATGAGAGTTTAAAATAAAAAATTTTCGGTGATTCACCTCTTCAGAACATACAAGACAAACTCCCAAATTAAATAGTGTAAATATCTTCAAGCGAGAATAAATTCCACGCTTGTGTATTTTTATTTATTTTATACTAAATAACAATTAATATATAAACAATGCAACCCTACTGAAAATAACAATTAATATAAACAATATAAACCTATTGAAGGTGTCAATGTGATAGAGGGATTATTCTCACTGAAATACTCTATTGGCAGCCTTCTTTGCTCATCACCCACGCTTGCCTCTTGAACCTTTGGGGTTTGGCAAGTTGCACTTACATCCTACAATAAAATTTTAATTTTGACAATCAAACTCTTGAATTCGAATTTCTTATCAAATCACCCCCAATTTGGGATAATTTGACAAGAAATTCAAATGCATGCAATTTTTTTTTTCAATGAGCAATTTGTGGCCAATCAATGATAAATTCAGGAGATTCTAGTGCAAGAGTGCTCACACATAATTGCGATTTTCTTTTTCATCTGTAGATAAGAGTTGAATATGCAGAGATTGTATATAGCTATTTAAATATAAAAGTGATGTGTAGAAAAACAAGAAAATACTACAAGTTGGGAGGAGATTATAAAACTTGTAGAAAGAAACAAAAAGATAACAAAGTCTGATCCACCTAAAAAAAGATAATAGCAAGACATAAAAATAATGGAACAAAACAAATAGCCATAATATTAATATTTTGGTATGCATAAGAAGACATTTGGGTGGCAGCTTTACTATGTCTATTAAAGAGAAAATTAAATAAAAAATGAAAATCAAGTGGTAAAGACTAAAGTGCCACCACTATGTTCATCCTCTCAGGACTTGATACTTTCTACTTTATCATGATTTTATTCGATTAAGTTATAGCAGCCTCATAGCTTTTCATAGTTTTCGAATGTATAATATTGCCAAATAATTACAACTAATCCCCACTAGTTTCATCAGGCAAAAAGATGAAAAATGATAAACAATATCACATGCTTGTTACCGAATAAATTTGTCTTGTAACACCAACTTCTTGAATAATAATAATGAGAAAAACAGAATTACATGCACGTTTCTTATTTAACAGTCCAAAACAAGCTCTCACTCCACTCTCTATAAATAATTGACATCCATAAACAAGTAATTAATACACAAAGAAAGAGATTGTTTTCTGGTTCTCTCTCTCTCTCTCTCTCTCTCTTCTGTTCTCTTCTTGTTCTCTCATGAATTCTTAGGTTTGTTATTAAGCCGTTTTACATAATATTGTTGGTAAAATCTCTAATTAGAAATGGAAAGTGAAAATCAACCTCTTATGAAAGTAGTAGTTTTGGTGTACATCTTTGTGTTGGGAAACTTTGTATCAGCTGATCGGAGTGGTCACAGAAGTGGATATGGGGAAAATCAGCAACCTCTTTCGCACATTGCTATCCACAAAACCGTCCTTGCTCTCCATGCCTCTGCCTCTATTGCGGCTTACCCTTTTCTTCTTGGCTTAAAGGTAACAAGACAATCATATCTTTTTTTTTTTTTTTTTGAACTATTTATAAAGGGTTGTAGAGATAGAAGACGGTACCGTTCATTTCGCCGATTCAAGTTTTGTTACAGTAATTTTACTCTCAGAAATAGTCACACCTAACTTTTTTGCTACAGTAAAAAACTCTCACACAAAATCACATCTCAACTCGAATTATAAACTCGAATCAGTGAAGTGAACGAGCCCTTAGAACTGTATGACGAAAAGGTATATCTTCTTGTGATATATGGATTTTTTTTTTTTTTAAAAAACAGTTTTACTTCAGTTGAAAATGACTATAGGGTAATAACAATAGGTTCCTAAAATTTTTAAAACATATATATATTTATATTCCAATGGATGTGAGCTGTGTAATGTATATTAACTGAAAAACAAATATTAGAGTCTCACTATTTTATTTTTTAGATTTATTATTCTAATATCACACAACTAAAACCTCGTTTATTTCACCGATTTGAGTTTTTAAGTTTAAGTTTTTACAATTAAAAACTTTCAAAAAAATGTTACATTATAGCTCGAATTAAAAATTTGAATTCGCGAAGCGAACGATGCCTAAATAAAGTCAATACCTATTGAAACATTTGTTTATTAATGATTTATTAGTATGTTGCTTTCTCATGACGTTGTCCTTTTTCATAGTTCACATCCTTTTTAAGACGCAATATACTGTTGTCGTTTATAAAGTTGCTTACGTTTGCACTAGAAGCTGTCGTTTTAAAGAGTTCGTCGTTTTCAAGAGAGGTCGTAGTTATATAATACTTATTTGCTGTTTGTCGTTCACTATGTTTTCAAGATAACTTGTCTTTGCTGTTTTAACTCGTTGTCGTTCACTATATAATACTTATTTGTTGCTCTTTAAATTTACCATCGGTTTGGATTTTGGAATATATGTTGTCGTTAGTAATCATATTGTCGTTAATTATAGATGACATCCTTTATAGGACCATTATCGTTTGTCAGAGATTGTCGTTTTTCAAGTTAGTGTCGTCTGCCCATCTGATTTGTTCCTTTAGTTATGAACAAAACCATAACATTTTCCCCTCCGGTTTCTCCTCTTCATTTGCTCCATCATAAGCAAAGCTCCTCTTCCTTTAGTAGTCGATGCTTCCATTTTCTGATGTTGTTACTTCCTTTTTTTTTTTCCCTCCGCTTTTTAGCATTCTTATTTTCTCCTTCTTTTCCCTTTAGAAGTGAAATCATTAGATAAAAAGCGTTAAAAACGACAAATATTGAATGTTTAAACCAAGGACAATAGCTAACAACAACAGGGAATAAGAAACTTAAAACAACTTTATCCCGACGACGAAGACACATTCATAAACAATAGGAAATAAAAAACAACAACATAATAAGAAAATGACGGCATCCTCTAATGCAACACCATGAACGACATTCTATAAAAAAAAGTTTGAACGACATCATATTCAAGAAACGACATTTAGCTGAGAAAACGACAACATACGAAATTGTCATCTACATCTTATTTTCCTAGTATTTTAGTAAGTTTGCTAAAAAGAAAAAAGAAAAGAAAAAAAAGGGAAACTATGAAGGCTTAATGTCACTAATCTAAACATGCATAATTATTTTCTTATGATTATAGGGTGAAGATGTGCAATGGGTAACTGTGGCGCTTGAACACCCTGAGCCCTCCAACGATGACTGGGTTGGAGTTTTCTCCCCGGCAAATTTCAAGTAAAATATTAACTCATCATCTCTATATAACTTACCAAAATATATTTCTTATGTGTTTTTTTGTTCATTTTCTTTCACTTGACACATGATTGAATCCAAAACACATTACTCTTTGCTTGAATAAACACCTACATATACATATAGAGTCCAACAAAAATATTGTACCTGAAAACTGAATCAATTATCTGATTTTGACATTATGATACATATATATATATATATGCAGCTCATCACTTTGTCCAGCTGATGAAGCAAATTGGAAAATAGGAAAACCATACATATGCACTGCACCAATCAAGGTTTGTTGTGTTACGTGAATATATATACAAAGCAATTTATTATCTATCATCTAACTTCTCAAACACTACATAAGTAATAATTCCAAAATGTTTTTTTTCTTCTTTTTTCAGTTCAAGTATGCGAATCGTTCCAACTCGAATTATGCAAAGACCGGCAAAGCGACTTTGAGGTTTCGGCTGATTAATCAGAGGGCTGATTTTTCTTTTGCTTTGTTTTCAGGCGGGGTTGCAAATGTATGTTACTGCTCTATACATTTTCTCTGATAGACATCTAAAAAATGTTATAATGTTTTGTTTCTCACATGTTCACCTTCTTCTTTGATAATGTTGCAGCCGAAACTAGTGGCCATTTCAAACTCCGTATCATTTGCCAATCCCAAAGCACCTCTTTATCCACGCCTTGCTCTTGGGAAAGCTTGGGATGAAGTGAGTAATTATGTCAAATTTTCTGTACACTGAGAAATGATTTTATTTGAATTTCTGAGTAAAGTAATGTACTTAGAAGTAATTTTGTTTCAAAATTTCAATTCTGCAGATGACAGTGACATGGACAAGTGGTAATAACATAGACGAGGCCGTTCCATTTGTTGAGTGGGGCCTCAAGGGCGAAACCCAAGTTCGATCCCCTGCTGGAACATTGACATATGATCGCACCAGCATGTGTGGTATGATCAATATTTCCTCGTATCTATTATACATCTCTACTTATACAACCAATTGTACATATATGAAGGCGTGTTGTGTCGAGTATGTAGAGTTGGTATGTGGATCGACCTTCACCGGGATCAGAACTTCCGGCGCAAAATCTTTAATGAGAGTGTATTGAGATTTTTACACATGTATTTTAATTATCCTAATGGTTGAAAGTGGACACAACTCTCACATCGGTGATGAACCGTTATAAATTTTGTGTATATATGCTTTCTTGATTTTCTTTTATATTACTGCGCTCATTAGTTTAGTAAGGATTAGGGTGGTTAATCCGTAGAATGTTGGAACATATGATGAGGTTTTTGTCTTGTTGTCTAGGCGAACCTGCACGCACGGTTGGCTGGCGTGATCCCGGATTCTTCCACACTAGTTTCCTCAAAGACTTGTGGCCAAACTCTGAGTATGCTTTTCAAAGAGCAATACTTAAGGCCCGTTTAGTTCGCTGATTCGAATTTTTAATTTGAATTGAGATGTGATTTTATGTGAGAGCCTTTTACTGTAGTAAAAGAGTTAGATGTGACTATTTATTAGAGCTTTTTACTATAGTAAAACTCGAATCGGTGAAATGAACGGGACCTTAATTACATCACAAGTGTTGTCTATATCTATGCATATGAAGTCTCTGACAATGTGTACTTCCATTTTCATGGTTAATTTCTCAGGTACACTTACAGATTGGGTCATCGTTTATGCAATGGTTCATATGTATGGAGCAAAAAGACCTATTCCTTCAAATCCCCTCCATATCCTGGCCAGGACTCCTTACAGCGCGTTATTGTATTTGGAGACATGGGAAAGGTAATATGCACATAATTTTCATGGTGTGTCAAATGTCATTGTTGATACAAACCAAAAAAAGTAAGAGTTTGAGTCATATCTTATGTACTTGTTCTTAATTAGAATCAAATTTCTTGCGTATTGTGTCAATCTGCGTTTTAGGCGGAGCGTGATGGTTCGAACGAGTTCTCAGTTGAGCCTGGTTCACTTAACACCACAGACCAACTCATCAAGGATTTGAAAAACTATGACATAGTTTTCCATATTGGAGATATGGCGTATGCAGATGGATACTTGGCAGAATGGGACCAATTTACAGAACAGGTTGGGCCCATTGCGTCAACTGTGCCTTATATGGTTGCAAGGTTTGTTTGTGCCGATGGAATCATCATCAAATATTGATAATTTCAATTGAAAATTTATGTTAAATTAGTTTCTTGGGTGTTGAATCTTTGATTTGGTTGCTGCAGTGGTAATCATGAACGGGATTGGCCAAATTCAGGGTCCTTCTTTGATGTCGTCGATTCGGGCGGGGAATGTGGTGTAGTGGCTGAAACAATGTTCTATGTTCCAGCTGATAACCGAGCTAAGTTTTGGTAAATTTTGTGACTTTTTCACTAAAGTAACTAAGCTCCCATGTCACCTATGACCTAACAATTTCCTTGAGGATGACAATTCATGTTGTGTCATGTCATGTTAATTTATGTCACCTAACAAAAAAACATTGTTCTTTTCTTAGGTACTCGGCAGATTATGGCATGTTTAAGTTCTGCATCGCGGACAGCGAACATGATTGGAGGGCGGGAAGCGAACAGTACCAGTGGATTGAGAAATGCCTTGCATCAGCAGATAGAAGGAAACAGCCTTGGTTGATATTCGTGGCTCATCGCGTGCTCGGATATTCCTCTAACCTTTGGTATGGCCGAGAGGGCTCGTTCGAAGAGCCCATGGGAAGGGAACACTTGCAAAATCTTTGGCAAAAGTACAAGGTTGACATTGCCTTCTTTGGCCATGTCCATAACTATGAAAGAATTTGCCCCATTTACCAGGTAATGTTTTCTCATGCCTATAAAGAAAATTACACTCACATAATGATCCCAAAATTAGTCCATTTGAATTTTTGCATACCTTTTCATCACGCCTATATGTTTATATATAAAATGAGCTATTGACTACAGGCATTACAAAAAGAGTCAATTCATGCATTAGAAAAAGTACCATCACTAATGTGATTGAAAAATCCACACCTGATAGATTGAATGCTATTAGAAAATCGAATGTGTTCTGATAATTGACACGACATACTACAATCAACAACAAAATAGAAGCGAGAATATAGGAGAGAGAAACAAACGAAATTGTGAAAATCATCAATCTCTTGCCTAGAGATTCAAGAAATGATAAGCTGCGCCGTCCTATATCGCCTGAAAATGGATATAGGTAATGGTTTATAAGAAATGATACCACTTCCTAATAGTATGGTCCCTCTAAGAGCAAAATTGTACAGATTTAGACCTAAAACAAACAATATCATACAAGGTGGAGGTGTGAATCGTTACCAAAATTGTTGATGAAAAAAAAAAAGCAGATTCAGACCTAAAACAAACAATATCATACAAGGTGGAGGTGTGAATCGTTACCAAAATTGTTGATAGAAAAAAAAAAAAGGTCTTAAAAAGCAACAAACATATTGTAATACTGCTTATATATGTTGTGATAAGCTATGTGGTGCCTTCTGCAGAATCAATGCGTGAATGAAGAAAAATCCCGCTACTCCGGCGTCGTGAATGGAACGATCCACATCGTCGTCGGAGGCGGAGGACGGAGCTTGTCTGACTACAGCATACTGAAACCATACTGGAGTCTCTACAGAGATTATGACTTTGGATTTACCAAGCTCACAGCATTCAACCACTCGTCGCTCCTCTTCGAGTACAAGAAGAGCCGCGATGGTGAGGTCTATGATTCTTTCACCATTTACAGAGAATACAAGGATGTCTTGGCTTGTGTCCATGATAGCTGCGAAGCCACCACTTTGGCAACTTAAAGATGTTCCTCTTAATTTGTTTCATGATCACCATTGTCTTGTCGCCATTTTTTTTATTTTTATTAAGATCATATAATGTTGCCATTTTTTTTTTTTTTATTAAGATCATATAATATTAGTTTAGCACCGATCTATGTGATTTCTCCGCTGAAGTTTTAATCAGCTCTTATCTCATGTGAGTGAATCATTATATATGCATCTTTTTTTTTCTTTTAAAGGGTGTTTCTACAATAGGTCTAGAAAAAATGAACTGCTTGTAGTTTTATGTTTTTAGTCTGTATCAAAAATTGTATGATGTGTTTTTTTTTTTTAATTTAATGTGATTTTGTCTAAATCTAAGGATTAAAGGCAAAAAATCACTAATAATTCATCTTTTTAGGGCCATGTCAGAGAAGTTTCCTTTCTGAAATGATGTACTCATGGGTGCATAGAGTTTTTGTTTTAGAAATGTTTTGTTGTTTTCCTATAGAATAAAGGTGGTACAATTAATGGCATAATAATAAACACAAACACAACACTAACACGACAAGATTTATTGAGCATCATAGGTTGGTACGACAAATATAACCTTTTCATTTTTATTATATAATTTTTATGTTATTATTATGTATTTCTCAATAATTAAAAAATTATGTATCTAAATAAAATGTAAAATTAAAATATAAATTATTACCCGACATCAAGTTCTTTTTTCTCTTTTGTTTTTGGCTTAGTAATAAATTACAAAATTATATTTCTATTTCAAATTATTTTTTATTTGAAAAGTGTGAAAAAATGAATTTTTACCAATAAAAAAAATTTAAAAAGGCTCAAAGGTTCAATGATTTATTGTCACTAAGAGAGAGTTATAAAATTTATCCTTAAAAGTGTACGAGTTTAAATTTTTATCTCTTATTCTTAATGAATATCATTTTAATTAATATAGTATTTAATTAAAAAAGTATTAATTAAAAACAAGAAATAAAAATTAAGACTTATACAATCTAAGGAGATATTTATCTCCTTTTCTCTTGTGCTAAGCACGATAAAAATACAAGCACAATATAACATAAACACAAGATGTGCTTGGGCTTCTGGATTGGATTGGGTCATGATTTTTAATCTTAGGTAGTGACGAAGCCAAGGAATTTAACAACCGGTAGAATTAAGAGAGAAAGAGGGAAATAGACCAATGAATTAAATTTATTAAATAAATAGTTTACATAAATTAATAAATAGAAATAGTAGGAAATAGGCTAATATGAAAAGCTTAAGAAAATATATAGGGAATTTTTTAGTTATAGAAATTAATAACCATAACTTGTCAAGTTATGGTTCATAATCAAATAAGTTATGGACAAACTTGTCAAGTTATGGTTCATAACCAGATAAGTTATGGATAATAACTTGTCAAGTTATGGTTCATAACCAGACAAGTTATGGACAAAAACAGTAATTTGGCCTATTTATTAACTTATGTAAACTATTGGCCTATTAATTTTAATTCATCTCAAGTCTTGACCTATTTCTCTCTTTCTCCCTAATAAAAATGATTCCCTTGAAAATTTGAACTGTAAATTATGTCCTACTTTAATTTAATCAAATAAAAAAAGTACAAAAATAAATGAGAAAAAAATTAACGTAAGGGCACCTGCAAAAAAAAAAAAATTACTTTTTTTTTTTTTTTTTTTTTTTTTTTTTTTTTTTTTTTTTTTGAGGTGCACCTGCAAGAACAGTTGGCTGGCGTGATCCAGGTTTCATACACACAAGTTTTCTCAAAGACTTGTGGCCAAACTCTGAGTAGGTATATGCAGGATTTAAAGAGATTTACAAATATATTATTTCACGATAAATAACATCTGGTGATATATATACAATATACAATATATTAATGTTTTTTTTTTTCTGAGGTACATTTACAGATTAGGTCACCGTTTACACAATGGTTCATACGTGTGGAGCAAAACGGGCCTTATTCTTTTAAATCCTCTCCTTATCTGGGACAGACTTTTTGCAGCTAGGGTTCATTTGATATGAGGATTCAAATCAAGATGATTATAATCATAATTTTAGAATTAGAATCATGATTCAAGATTTTGAGTTCAAATTATGATTCTGAAATCATGATTCAGAATCAAGAGTTTGAATCACCTTGAATCAAGAGGGAGGTGATTTTAGAATCATGATTTGAACTAGTTTAAAACATCACATCAAATTCTAAATCATGATTCAGAATCATCTAAACTAAACACTGATTCTGAATCATGATTCATAATCACTGTAAACAAACATTAATTCTAAATCAGGATCAATAATCATAATTCTGAATCTAACTATCAAACACACCTATAGTGTTTGGCGAGATGGGCAAGGTAGTATAAAAGTCTATTCATTTTGAAGTATAGTTATGGATACGTTTACTTTTTTCCCCCTTAAAAAATGGTTTTTTTTTTTGTTTTTTTGTTTTTTTGTTTTTAATGAAGAAGGGAGAGGATAACTAGGGAAATTAATTAGCGCATCTCAAGACACCCACTAGCAGACCCATCCCATGCTGAACCATCTACTTAATATTATTAAGAAAAATGAAAAAGAAAAAAAAAATAGATTACAAAAGAAAACAAATGTGTGAATTCAGAAAAGTCCAACTATTACAGTGTAGTAAATAGAACGATCCACGCCTCGCCAAATTAGCACATTGACACCATTCTGGTGTCTCTACAGAGATTATGACTGGGGATTCGTCAAACTCACAACATTCAATCACTCATCATTCCTCTTTGAATACAAGTAAAGCCGCCACGGCGAGGTCTATGACTCTCTCACCATTTATAGGGAGTACAATGATGTTTTGTCTTGCGTCCACCACAGTTGCGAACCAACCACTTTAGCAGCTTAATTGAAAGAGATAAAAACAAAATAAGAAGACGTTTAGTTTATAGATTAAAATTATTTTTAATTTATGTATATTTTTTATAAGAGAGAATATTATAGCGAATTATGAACCATGATTCGAATTAAGATACGAATCTCCTTACTAAACGTCACATAAGAGTTATGCTATACAGCTCCGCAAAGCCGCGGCTCCGTACTGCGGTTTAGCTTTTTTCATATAATAGTGATTAAGGGTTAGCCTCGTTGAATGTTTCCTATTTTGCAGTACTAGCTAGGCTTGTTGAATGTACGCAATTTTCCTACTCTCTAGAAGAGATTTAAGTGACGTTTGTTTCAAAGATTCTATCTAGTTTAGGATCATGATTCGTGATTTTACTACAGTATTTTTTTCTTACAAAAAATTTAAATTTTAAAAATTAAAATTATGAACCATAATTTTAAATTCATGACCCAAACGTCATCTCAATGACTTTGTTAAGGGGCGACATTATATAATAATATTATCTACTTTTGTTGTCCTCTAGTAAAGTGTTTTGTTTATCACATGCGAATCCATTTATTTGTTATGTCATGTCATAACATAGTTTTATTATTAGGGAGTTTTTACGGTGGAACATGCTATTTTATTCTACCGACAAAAACTCTATTTTTATTTTTTCAACAGTCAAGCTGTAAGAGGAGCAGTTCTGTATGGCGTGATGTAAATTTTTAATACGGACCTGCACAAATCTAAACGTTAAAAAATTAATCCAACGGTTAAAAATAATTATTTCCACTAATAAAGTAAAATAACATGCTCTGCCATAAAGATTGTTTTATTGCGATGGATAGCAGGATTCACATGATTTTATTGATCTATGGCTTTGTATTCTTGAGTTTTGAGTGAATCAACAAGATTTTGATGCCTAAGCGCTACAAATTCTACAAGAATCAACGTTTTTAGAAAGATTTGTGTATTTTCGCAATTTGCGAGTTTTATCTTTCTTATAATGCGCTTCCTGTACTGCATTAGATCATTACTCTCTAAAATAATATTTCTCCAGTCAATTGGCCGTGTACGAATTACTGAACATTTCTTCAACAATGAAATTGATATCATAAATTATTATTTCTCAAGAAATAGTAATCAACTGACCATGAAATAACCAATAAAGTAGTAAATTAACACCAGCTAGTAGTGATAGTAACTATTTTTTTAATTAATTTAATGGGTCGAAATCAACTAAAGAAAATGATATTTTTTGTTTTTAAAAATTTAAAAGGATTAATATAGTCAAGAAATTTATAAAACATATTGCATTAACGGACCAAGTCGTCTAAAGTTTGGTACATTAGTATGCTTGAATGTCCATTTCTATGCCTAGTCGTCAAACACGCAAAATGACTTAACAAAAATAAATTATGAGAGACAAAAGTATACCTTTGGTAAACGACGCGGTTTCCAGCGTTGACGTTGACGTCTTTACATGAAAATTCTTCGATTTGGTAAACGACGCGGTTTCGTTGACGTCTTTACATGAATATATAGCATTTAGTAAATCTCGTCGATTAACCTTTAATTTAGAGAGTATATATATATAGTGGTACGTGTAATATACGCATGATCACAACTCACAATTAATATAACATCGTAATTAAATAGGGAGAAGAAATGGGACTTGCTTCTGCCATTCGTTTTATGTTGCTCATTACCCTCCTTCTTACAGCCAATATTTTTGCCACGCAACGCCAGTTTGTCCATGCCGGTAAGAAAATTTATTTCTATTTATACACAGACGCACACAATCTCGTATCAAATTTTTCTCTTTCAAAACTTAAAACTCCGCCCAGTTTTACCTGATTATGGTTCCGTTTGGTCATGCGTTTAAGTCATTGATTCTGATTCATTAACGGGAACTTTGTGAGAGAACAAATTTTTGAATTCAAATTCTGTATGAGAATCAGAATCATAAGTTCAAATATAAGAAACAAACAGGACCTAAATAGTTATATCTTGAGCTCAATGGCGGAGCCATCTTAAACCATGGGGGGCAGCCGCACCGCCCAAGGGGATCCTAATTTTATTAATCTCTCAACTAATTTTTCTCCTACATGAATTATTACCTTATAAGTTTGCCCCCCCAGATTTT